CTTCCTCCGCAATCTCGGCCCGGCTCCGCGGGAGCTCGCCGGAGGGGAGTTGCGGCTTCCGAAAGAAAGAATTAGTTCCGACTTGGGTTTCTGGTGCTTGAAAAGGACGCAGGCCAGAGGGTTTACAGTCTGTCATTCGCACTGCCCTTTGCAGTGGGCGTCGAGGGACCAGGGCGCGGACCAGCCTCCCACCGACGCGCAGGTGGCGCCCGGGACCGTCGCCTGCTGCAAAGCGAAAGCAAGTCAACGTTTAGCAGGCAGGCTGCCGCGGACCAGAAAAATAAAAGTTTTGTTTTTGTTTTCTTTTGAAAAGAAAACACTCCTCTATTGGCCCACTCCTATCCCTGTGCTACAAATAACAAAACTTCAAAGTTTTCTGTAATACGTTACATCCTGAAGCTGCTGATTTGGGACAACTACCCCCTACCCGCACCAAGTCCCCACAGCCTCTGAGAAACCGTGGTGGGGAGGAAAGGAAGAGGGTGTCCTGGTCGATCTTTAGTAGTTTTTCCTTGGCTGTCTTTGGGAAAGACAGTCGCGTACAGGACCACATAGAGCGCGTTTGGGGAGGGGACCAGCGCTGTGCCAGGAAGTGCTCGGCAATGTCACCCTCGGCCAGGTCGGCCCTCCCCGAATCCGATGCTTCTCGTCGCACGTCCTTCTTCCCTGCAGGGTCGGGCCACCGGCCGGGTTCCCTCTGTCCCCACCCCTGCAGGGCCGGGCTGCCCCTAGTTCCTGGACTCTACGTGAGAAGGTGCTTTGGGATGGAAAAAGCAACATTTACACGTCAATGACTTTTGACCTTTTGTCAACTGAGGAGAGCTTCTGTGTTGCGTATATTTCTTCCTTCCTTGCCTTTCCTCCCGCTGGTTTGTTTAGGATGGGGAATCTCCCAAAACCCAGGAGGAGCGTCTATAGATTTACTTTGTGAAACATGATTAAGGAGGGGGGAAGTTAGGGGTGGGGAGTACGGATTCTCACGGAGGTAATCTTGTCAGTCTTCACATATTTAGACAAAAGCCTGAACTATTTACAGAAAAATTCCATTGACTTCTTGAGACTAGGTAAAATGAAAGCCCCTTTCCCAGATATAATGTTAACTGCGTAAGCAGGTTAGATCAGAGGGGTTTTAAAAAGTCCGGATTTCATATTAGCGCAATGTTTTGAAAACTGCTGTAACATCTCCCGTAAGTTTCAGATCGTTATACTCAACGGTACAAATTTTGAAAGTTCAGATAAATCTGTTAAAAAATAAGTCTACAGTTAGGCTATAATTATATGCTCTTTTAATGGCACTCAAATGTATCATTCAAACCAAACAGTAGTTATTTCCTAGGTTTTCCCGGATTGTCACACCCACCAAATCCTAAACTGAAACGGATAAACTTTCCTTGTTCCTATTTTGATCTAAAGACTTTTAAATTTGCACGCACATATTCAGGTACCTGTAAGTGAGAAAAGTAAGTGGAAGACTTTAGCCAGAGTAGCAAAGTAAAAAGGAGTTTCCAGCAGAACTTTGATTTTTGACTCTCTGTACAGTGGTTGAAACTGGGGGGGATCAAAGGGAGAGGGCTACCCAGCGCAGCGCTATTAACTAGACCCAATTCTCTAACTTCCTCCAGCCACCACATATTACTATGGAGAAACCTCAGTGTTGGCCTTTTCCCACAGTTTTTGGTGCTTTGAGTCATTTTTTTTCTTTAATTTTTTACGTAAATATTCAGGTTGTCATTATGCGTCTGCATATGGACACACTGATTTCTTAAAGAGAGAACCAAAGGGCATGCTTAACTGAAAAGGGTGTTCTCCCTCCGCCGTATGTTAATAGAAGTTTTGAGGAGTGTTTAACTGTATGGGATTGCTACCAAAGTTTCTGAGTCTTATGCGTGATTGAGACTCTAGCTCTGGTTTTGGTGCTGTTCAATCCTGCTCCATGTTACTGCAGAGAGGTGGATGTCAAATATCAAGTACTGTAGGCTCTGAATTCTCTTAATATGATTTCTTTAATGACATTCAGGAGGCTTGTATTTCTTCCAAGGTTGTTTCTAGACTGAAAGCTCCGGTTCCTATTTCAAAGCTCTTCATTTCCATCCTCACTGGGACGTAAACCTTGCAATGATTTCACGCATGCAATTTCATGACAGTTTCAGTAACCTTTATACCGTTGCATTACAGATCACTGCCTCCACATAGTGCTGCTGGAAACTACATCACACTTCAGTTCCTACACCATATTCACGTTGAGGATCGCTTTTGACACTGGGCATTTCCTCACTGTGCATAAATATCACAAATATTAGAATGAGCAGACATAATATACATTGGGAGAATTATTTCAGCCTGTACATGATTCATCATATATTTAGTAAGCACCTACTGTGCACATGCAGGAATTTTTCTCCTCTGAGGATATTGTTTGTTGTTTTTAATTTCTACAAAAATGAATAAACAAAATATTCCGATCTACACATATTTTTATTAGTGGGTATTTATCAGGCTGACTGGTAGAATTCCAGATCCATCAGTATGTGAGTGTATTCACATATTCATGGCTGTTGGTGAGTTCTGTACCTCAGATAAACATAAAAGAATAATGTAACCTTGAGAATAGGGTAAAAGCTGGCGTTCTTTCAAGCTTACAAATATTTGTTATGGAATACTTGCAGGAGTGCTGGGCCTAGGATTTGGTTTCTGCATGCTCTTTCCAGACAACATACTTCCCAGGTGTTTTCAGATGTTCTAAGTCAGAAAATCCTGTCATCAGTGGGATAATTGGTTCCCTACAAGGGCACTGTAAATGACATTATAGTAGAAGGTCTCTTAACCAGCCTCCATTTAGCTGACTCATCCAGTAACAGATACCAGCCATTACTGTGTGGTGTACAACATGCAGATGACACAGCACAATAAATGCTCAGGCCAGTGGCTGGTGTGCACCTGCATACTTCTGTTCCCACTAGGTGAGTTATGGGTCCCGTGAGAATCCATTGTACTTGTTCCCAAACTCGATTCCGCCTATTACAATGTTCCTTGTGAAATTTAATTAAATAATACACAATTGATTATTAAATTAATAAAACATGAGTATGTGTGTGCAAAAAAAAAGTTCCAGTGAAAATGAAGTGAAATGCTTTGAGAGAAAATGATTGAAACTGGGGATCAAAGTGAGGCGGTACCCAGTGCAACACTGTCAATTTAACAATTCTCTAACTTCTTCCCAGCCACCACATATCACCATGGCGAAACCTAAGTGCCGGTCTTTCCAATAGTGTTTGATACTTGTAGGCATTTTTATTTTAATCACTTATGTGAATATTCAGGTTATCATTGTGCATTTGCATATGGACACACTGATTTTTTAAGAGAAAAATAATCAGACGACATACTTAATTGAAAGGGTGTTCTTCCTTTACCATGTGTTAGTAGGAAGTATTGGAGGCGAGGCACTGAAAAAATCTTTGTCAAATTAGTTGTGGGTATGACCATTGTGAAAGATTGGGAAGAAAGCATTCAAGCCTAGAATTTACTTTGCAGGTATCTATCAAGAGTCACTTTGCTTTAAAGAAACTAAAACTGAAAATTGTAGACAACGTGAAAGATACATGGAACTCTAAACAGTGGACCCACATTCTAAAGACTAAGGCCCTATATTGACCAAAAAAACCCCAAACCAACCAAAACAAAACACTGTTGTTTATATGTTTTAAGCTAAAGTAAAATACTTAAGAGATATATATGATTCCCTTTTATTAATAAACTTTCTAAACATTTTGCATGTATTTGCATGTTCTTAAAATTAGAAATTAATTTTCGTAATAAATAATGAAAAGTACTTGAATTGGAATTTTATATTTAAGAATACAACTATAACTTATTAAATTTAATTTGCCTCAGAGTAAGCAAAATTCTTCTCACTTTACAATCCTGCACTGATTGAATTCTTTGAATGGCCATCATGGTTGCTATTTTCTGATGCATACTGAGATATTCTTTTTCCATTTGACCTTTGTGGCTTAATCAGGGCTATCATTTTTGCAAACAATATTTGAAGGGTTCATACATTTTCCCAAGATCCTCCTGTAATACTCAATTGCTTTCTTTAGACTAGTGTCCTTGTCAGTTTTTTCTTCCTTTTAGCAACTTCCTGGTACAACTCTGCTGAATCCTGCATTCACAAGGCTTTGCATGTGACCTGAGCAGTTCAGGACCACTTTCATTGGCTCTGTTCACTTCTGCATCTTTTGCAACGTTTGCACCTTCACTTTGCAATTGATTTCCATTGTTTTGTGGCCAAAGCTGCTATAAAGAGGTATACAAAGTTGGCATGGGGTTGGGCACAGTGGTTCACGCCTGAAATCCCAGCACTTTGGAAGACCAAGACAGTAGGATTACTTGAGACCTGGAGTTTCAGGCCAGCCTGGGTGACATAGTGAGACCCTCATCTCTACAAAAATTAAAAAAAAAAAAAGTAACTGGGCATAGTGGCACACGCTTATATTCCCAGATACTCAGGAGGCTGAGATGGGAAGATAGACTATGCCCAGGAGATCCAGACTGCATAATCACACCACTGCACTCCAGCCTGGGCCACAGAGCAACACCCTGCCTCTAAAAATAAATCAATAAATACAAATTTTCAAAAATTGTCATGCACTAGAGGAATGCTGTCCAACAAAATATAGTGCAATCCAAGTATATAATTTTAAATTTTCTAGTAGACACGTTTAAAACTAGGTGAAATTAATTTCGATAATGTATTTTATTTTACGTAACATATCCAAAAAATTATTTTCATGAGTAATCAATCAGTGTATAACGTATTACGAATGAGATAGTTTCTCTTTTTTGGTGCTAGATCTTTGAAATATGGTGTGTGTTTTACACTGACAGGACATTTCTAACATCTTAATTCAGACTAGCCACATTTTGAATGTTCAAAGGCTGCAGGTAGCTGGCATATTGGACAGTGCAGACCTAGAACTATAGTACCTAACACCAATGAGTTTTATGAATTGTTAAATGCTTTATTAGGTCAGGATTAACATATAAGAAAAATAATCCACATGTATATGTTCAGGAAATAAAGAAGAAATGCATTAGATATAAATTATAGTCATGTACTGCATAATGATGGACACATATATGATGGTGGTCCCAGAAGATTATAATGCCATATTTTTACTGTACATTTTCTATGTTTAGATATATTTGGATGCCCAAATACCTACCATTGTGTTACACTGCCTGCAATCTTCAGTACAGTCACATGCTATATAGGTTTGTAGCCTCGGAGCAATAAGCTATACCATATAGCTTATGTGTGTAGTAGGCTATACTATCTAGATTTGTGTACATACACTCTATGATGTTCACACAATGACAAAATCACCTAATGATGCATTCTCATAATGTATCGAATGTATCCCAGTCATTAAGTGATGCATGACTGTAGTAACACATAACTAAGAAAATTAGTCTTTCCACCTCTACTAGCTACCTTTTCAAATACATTTTAGCCACTACTATTGGAGTTACCTTTCTCAATTACAGTTCTGATTCTGTCCTCTCTCCTCAAACCCCTTAATGGTTCCACACTGTATGGAATCTACATTCTTTGATTCGTTAAACAAACATCAAGTGCATTTTCTCCTATGTGCTATACACTGTGCATACCCTAGAGATCAAAGTAGGTATGACATTTACCCTCATGGAACTCCCAGTCTATCACCTCCCTTACTTTCCACCATTGACAGTTCAGTTCTCACCATAGTACATTCTATCCTGAGGGCTGGGCTCCAGCCACAAATATCTGTTCCCCCTGGTTAGGAATATATCGTGCTGTCTTTCCTCTTCTCCTGAAAACACTTCCTTAAATCCACTTCACCCCTAAAACCCTCACTACACCACCCCTGGGCCAATCCTTTTCCTAACATTTGCAGGAGCAGGATGAGAATACAGATGGAGGCCCCTTACAACATTTTTAATTATTTACAAGTTAAACTGTAAGCCAACAGTAAGTAAAATATGTTCTAGAGTTCCACTTTGATAAGTATACTTTTATAAAGACAAAATTGAATATTATATGTAAAGTTCTGGCTTTTATATGACTGATATGACAAAATATCAAAGATAGTTGTATTTAATTGCAGTCCATTAATGGGCTGACAATGTTTGGATGAGGAATAAAGACACGTAATTTGCAATTTTTTATGAAATTAATTTTCTATCTTTAATTTCAACAAAATTACTAATTATGTTGTTACATTAAGATATTTCACATAATTTGTGTTCAGTCATTTGAAACAATCCAATGATCTATTATTATTAAAAGGTAAAAATCAATTCAAAATACAAATTTGACAAACATCAAAATTTTAAATAAAAATATTTAAATAAAGCTGAACTTTTAAAACTTGAAAATTTGATTATCAAAAATTTTTTTTTTTTTTTTTGAGACGGAGTCTCGCTCTGTCGCCCAGGCTGGAGTGCAGTGGCCGGATCTCAGCTCACTGCAAGCTCCGCCTCCCAGGTTCACGCCATTCTCCTGCCTCAGCCTCCCCAGTAGCTGGGACTACAGGCGCCCCCACCTCGCCCGGCTAGTTTTTTTTTTTTGTATTTTTTAGTAGAGACGGGGTTTCACCGTGTTAGCCAGTATGGTCTCGATCTCCTGACCTTGTGATCCACCCATCTCGGCCTCCCAAAGTTCTGGGATTACAGGCTTGAGCCACCGCGCCCAGCCCGATTATCAAATATTTTATTAAAATAAAGCTATTTGAACTTCTAGCATTCAAGAGCCACAGAGTTGCTAAAATATGGACAACATACTTTAAATGTTTTGTGAAATCTATGTAAATACAAATATAAGTCACACATAATGCTTAATACTGCAAAGTATTCCTTAGTGTTTGTATGTAAATGTTGTTAATATTGCCCATATATTGTGAGTAGTTAGGGATCCATGAAATGGAACACAAAGGGAAACGAGAACACGGACTCTCAGACAACCAAGACGTGACATGTTATTCAGGAATCCATTGCATTTCTGTTATGTGAGGGAAGAGATTTGGCAAGTTAGCGCATTTGTCTCTTCTCCTACTGAAAACTTCTACCAGTGAGGTCTTCCCTGTGTCCAAAGTGGTAGTGTTTCCAACATCAGTGGCAGCATCAGCATCCACAAAACTTGACATTTGAAGGCCCTGGGGCAAGGCATGTGAAGCTGCGCTTCTCTGGGGCTCATTAGTTTTGATCGCCGGAGCAGATGTTTGCCCAGCCACCGCTGTGCACTAGATCCCAGTGATCAGGGCAGCTGTGTGTTCTTGAGTCAATTTCAATTTCCAAATTTGTGACATGTCATGTACTCTAAAACACAGGGCCGGAGTAGTCTCCTGCCCAGGTCCAAGGGAGGTGCTGCTAAGCACCTGCTAAGGGGCAGGCCCTTTTCTGGGAGGAATAAGAGATGCTGAGAGCAGAGAAAACAAGACAATGCCCTTTTCCTCTGGATATTTACAAAGCCTGCCTTGCATTGGAACCACTTGTGTCTGTGTGCACATTTTCCAATTCCTATGAGACCCTGGAGCAGAGACCATTTCGTTTTCATCATCTCACCTCCAGAGGGTCCCTATCTTGGTGCCTTGCATGCAGCAGATGCTCAGTGAACAAGAGTTGATTTAGATGATTACGAAACACCAACTGTCTAAGAGTTCTTAGGATCTGACCTTTAATCACAACGCTCCCTCCCTAACAGGGAGTTCCCCTTCCTTGTAATGAAACTACTTCATCTGCGAACTCAATTGTGCATTCATTTTATGAAAAGGTAAGAATTTAACTCTATCTATATTCTGAACCTCTTACTGGGGGCAATTGGTGGGAATGGGGGTCAGGGAAACTGGGAATCTAAAAGGCAGAAAAATAGAATGGCAGAAAAGAAGCAGAAAGTTTTGCAATGAAGACTCAGGAAAGTTTAAGGAAAACGAGGGGTAGTAAACTCAGGTCTTAAAAGTGCACTTCAGGGGCCTCTGTGAGGAGAAGGGATTGGTGGTAGTGTGAGGGAGGAGGTGGAACCTGGAGAAGTAGACTGTGGTCAAGGTGGTGCTGGGGGTCATACAATCGAAAGGCATTGAGTATTTGGATAGAAGCCTATAAAAGAAAAGAAAAATGTCTCTAGGTGTGTGTACCACCGCAACATAAAACCAACCTGAAAGTTTGGGGAAGAGGATCCTGGAAGTTTCTGGAGAACAAAAGGTGTTTAAAATTATCATTAAATATAAACATGTATTAAACATTTACTATGTGCCATTACAGTGATAAGTGTTTCCTATATATTAACTTATTTAATCTACACAATAACCCTGTGAGGTAGGCACTGTCATCATCGCCATTTTCCAGATGAAGAAACTGAAGCAGAGGGGTTAAGTAACTTAACCAAGACTATTCAGAGGCAGTGGAGGTGAGATTTGAACTTAGATACTCTGGTCCCACCGCCCATTCTTTTAACCTCAAAGCAGCAATGTGTATCCATTATGATAACATAATATATGTAAAATATCTTTGTTGTTTTTCTGTGGTTAGCTACTATTTTCTTAGTGAGAAACCTATTTATGAGATCTTTCAGTGTTCTTGCTTCAATACAGCTTTCATTCTCTAATGCCTCAAGCTTCTCAAGTGAAAATATTACCATGAAGTTCTTCACCAATACATACCCCTTTGAATGCAGAAAGGGATAATACACTCTGCATTATTTTTTAACCCAAAGTACCAAGCTGTTTCAAATCTTATTTTTGAAAAATCTTCATAAACTAGACATAAAAATTTACCTTTGAATTACTATAGATACTAAAATTCATTATACAAAGAAATAGAAAACAATAATATCCTAAAGACTCTATGGGAAACTGTGATAGAGAAGGTTAGCTGCCAACCAGAGTCCTTCTCTGCAGCGATTGCCATGCAGCTGTAGT